TGGGGAATATGATAGATTCATGAGTTAGAAATTAATGCTGCCTTTGAATAATATTTACTTCTATACATAAAAAAATTAATATTACCTTTCATCAGTTCTGAGGTGCATGCTTTTTCATATGAGAAAGTGGGGGTGGGGGGAAAGGCAGTGTTAAATCATTGGGAATGCAAGGATGGCTTAATATTAAGTTTTTAAACAAAGCAGTGGAGAAGGGTTATTTGTAGTTGCCATCATTAATGTGTAGAAATATTGTATTATACTCAAGATCAGACAACCCTAGGTAAAGATTACTCCCTGTTTTTCCCCAAGGAAAGGATGAAAAAAAAACCCAGTTCTGGATCCAGTTAGAATATATAGAGTTAGGGATACAGATGACAAGCAAATGACTTAGAGTACATTATATGTATATTTTTCTGTATTGCTCATAGTACTGTATAGTACATTATATAGAACACATTATAGTGTATTAATAATATTTTTGTAGAGTACATTAATATATTTTATTACATTACATTAAATAACATTTTTTTCCACTTGTAGTTCATGATTTTTTTTTTTTTTTTTAATCTTTGTACTTTAATTTTGGAAGAAATCTTAAGAACATAACTGTGATCCAAGAAGAGTGAAACCAGAAAGGAGAAAATGCTAGTTCAGGCCTGTTATTGAGCAGGTTAATACTATGGGCAACTGGGATTTGATCCAATTCTCTTGGGGGCTGTCTGAGGAAACATGGGGAAGAGATCTCAGAAATGCCCACCTGATAGGTCAAAAAGATAGATATTTATCCACAAGCTCTCAATCCTCCACATGTTATTGGTCACAAGTTGCCCCATATACTTGTATCAGAACGGCTGAGGTTTTGCAGGCAGCCCCTTGAGACATAGGAGCCCAGATCAGGAAGTAGGAGATAAGTGGTGGAGCCAGCCTGAGGTGCTGTCAGGTTATATGTTTGTGCAGCTGGTTGCTGGAACAGTGGCTGGAATATATCTGGTTCAGCACAACATGAGGTAGAGAGCTTTAGGGGTTTTCTATATAAGAGGAAAGAAGTCCAGGCTTTGTCTTGAAATCAGTTATGTATCTCTGGAGCCCATAGTCATAATGTAGTAATAATATTTTGATGATCTTTTGATGTGTGAACTTGTAGACTACAGTCTCCATTTATTCAGTTAACTAGGAAGGTATCTTGTAGATGTCATTAAAGTCCTGGTCTCCGGCAAAGGTGGGGGCAGAGTGGCCTAGAGACACCTGAAGAGAGACTGGGGAAGGAGGCTTTGGGGAGAGAGCTGAGTAGCCGGTGGGATCTCGGTGCTGACTCATCCCCCATGCGGCAGCAGCCATCTTGCTCAGGCAGAGACTTCTTTTTCAACCAATTCCACTCGTTTTCATCATTCAGTTATTTCTAGAGGTACTTTTTAAGACATGTAGGCCTATTTTCTGGAGCACATAATTTTCACATAAGCACATCTCTGTTTTCTGAAACTTAGCAATTATTGACTCCATGTATGATGCTGCAAGTTTTCTTTCAAGCTTCATTTATTTGCATAACATGAGGTCATTAAAGTATTGTCTTTTACCCTTTTTGTTGGTATGTATTTCATCTCTGTGCAATAACAACTTATTGTGTTGCTTTTTTCCTCATGAATGACATTCTGTATTTTAAAATACAGAAATTTTAAAATTCTGTATTGTAAAATACATTTTAAGAATCATTTATATTTCCTTGCCACTAAATTTTGTTCCTATGCTTTGACAATTTTTATTTCTGAAAAATCATTGTCTTTGATTTTTCAGAAGCATCTATTTGAGGAGGAAACTGGCCCTTTACAATGAGGTTTTTTTTGCCATCCTTGATTTTATCTCATTTGTGAATTGTTTATAATAACTTGATGTTTACTTCCCTTTTTAGGTAACTTCTATATAATTTTAATAACTGTATGTAACTTTTTTGCAATAACTGTAAGTTTACACTGAAGACATGTTTTTTGCTACCAAAAAGACAAAAATACAGGTGAAATTTAACGACAGGATAAGGCCTTACTTTATTATTTTTTAAAATTAAGAGTAGTACGGGGGACAAAATTGGGAGAACTGTAATAACATAAACAGTAAAACTTAAAAAAAAATTTAGAGTAGTATTGTTTAACATAGTTTGGGGATCTGTGGATAATGTTTGAAATTTAATTTATTTAGGCCATATTGAACACTTAATTTTTAATTTGATACAGATGTAGTGGTGACTAAATTTGAATTCTTGACTTCCTTCTCCTTCTTTTAAATACAGGGTGAACATGGACAATCTTGTGCCAAAATGCTTGTGAATCGAGCACTAGGCCGCTGGAGGCAGCGTATGCTTCGAGCAGATAATACTAGTGCCATAGTAATCTGCATCTCACCAGGAGTGGACAGTCAGGGAAATTTCAGTAATGAAGATGAGCTCTTTCTGAATCTGACTGATAGTCCTTCTTATAATAGTCAAGAAACCTGCCTGATGACTTCTTCTCCAAGTTCTACACCACCAGTCAAGGTATATAGTTCTATAGTATTTAGGTTGTTTTAGTTCTATAGTATTTAAGACAAGAGTTTCTTTGGTTAGTATTGCCTAAAAACAAGTGACCAGATTTCTTATGTAATAAGACTTTGGCTTTCAACTAGTTTCAAGAAAGTGATGAATCTTTGTCATGTAACTTATTGGCAGTGAGCCATCTTTACACCAGTACTTACTCATCTGAATGCCAACTGTGTGTACAGTACCTAATGGAAAGGTAGTTAGATGTGGCTCCTGAAGAATATATATTTTTTAAAGATTTTATTTGTTTTTAGAGAGAGAGGAAGGGAGGGAGAAAGATAAGGAGAGAAACATCAATCAGTTGCCTTTCACACATCTGCAACTGGGGACCTGGCTTGTAACTCAGGCATGTGCCCTGACTGGGAATTGAACCAGCAACCTTTCGGTTTGCAGGCCTGCATTCAGTCCACTGAGCCACACCAGCCAGGGTGCCCCTGAAGAATATTAACAATATTAATAATTGGAATTTATTGATCCCTTCCAACACTATGTATATTTATAATCATTTCTTTTCTTTGAACACCCTTGAATAATAATGCAGATTAAAACTTTTTAAAGTCTCTTTATTATCCTTTGACTGTTGAGAAGGAGCTTATATTCATCTGAGTATTTGCCTATTTTTCAATTTGAATGTATTTGTCACTTTCGTGTTCCTTAATGTATTTATATTTTGACTAACTGACTTAGGCAGAATAGAGAAGGAGTCATGAGAGTGGAGGTATAAGGGTAAGGGGACAATTTATTTTGATAGGAATAAATATTCTTAATATTAATCTCAAATAAAAAATGATTGCCATCTGCTGATTGGCGTTAGTAAAATTATACATAGATTGCACATAAAGTATGTTTTAAAATTATTTCTAAAGTTCTGAGAAATAATAATCATAGTCAAGATGAGATATATGTGTGCATTAACCTATATGTAGGCATGGTTTTTTGTGAACCAATTGGCCCCACCCAAATATGGGAAAATATTTAGAGCCATTCACAATAATTAGTATTGTTGGATTTGACTTAACAAATAAAGACTAATTAATTTCTGCTCAAGATACTGTGGTTTTGTTTCCCTTTTTTCTTTTTTCTTTTCTTTTTTTTAATATTTATTGACTTAACCATGTGTACTCACAAGTATTTCTGGTTTATTTCACTGTTAAAATAATCCCATGTTTGGTGACATCTATATAAATATAATGACATTTTGGTTAATTTTGAATGATTTTTAAGACTTACCCACATTTAGGCTACGCATTTGAGACTAGGTTTATATATATAGATATGTCAGCTTCTGTTTGAATCTAAAGTAAATCAGATCTTTGTTTTGGGATGGATTAGTACAAATACTTCTAATTAACAATGTATTACTATGGCATGAATTTCTTTTTCCATCCTTTCTTTAAGGCAAGACTAAACTTAGCTGTTTTTACAACCAAGAGCTATAGGAAGGAGCAGTAAGGAAGAGAATTTTTTCAGAAAATTAACACTTAGTTTTTGTTGTTAACTGGGCACAGTGTATAATTAGTTGTTTAATGTTAGATTGATAGATGGAGTGAGAAACTTGATCTCTGAAGTAGTGAAACTTTTAAAATATGTATTGTTAGGAGGTAACTTCTCAATATCACAAATGCCGTATGAACATGGAAGTAGGTTTAGTGATACTAAGTAATCTGGTATGAGCCTAAGAAGTCCAAGTAGTTGCCTGTGCTAACAGATGCAATGTATTACTACAGAATGCCAATAAAAAAGGAAGGAAAAGGAAAAGCTCAAGGAGAAAGTGGGGGAAGAAAAGCCAGCACACCTGTAGTGAGAGAATAATAATCTGTGAATTTAAAAAGACACAGCACAACTGAAATCACAATAAATTGTGTTAACTCTGAAATCGTCCCATTGTTTTTCTTTTATAAAGGAATCCCATCTAATACCTAATGTTGTTACACAACCTAGAACAATATGTTTTATTCCTATCAGTTTCTTGATGCCTATATTAGTGATGTGGTTTCTTGGTAGAAGGAAGCCTTGTCTCTACAGAACTTAACTGCTGCCTGGTCTTGTTGCAAATACCTTTCGTGTATTTAAGCCGGATGAACTCTTGGTCAACAATTATAACTAGATACAGTTTTTTGTGGTCAGCTAGCACATGCTTTTGACCAGGGTAGATACTGGAATCAATCTAAAGCAGAGGGATAAACTCACATACAACTCTTGTCATATTATTGAAAGTCATATGTAAATATTCTAGAACAGAAACTCTTGTTATCTTCTCTCCACACTCATACTTTGAAATAGGGTTGCTGCCCGCCATTGAGTCAGTGTTAAAAGATAAGAATTGAGCTTGGATAAGAACTGTGCAGTATAAAATAAATAAATGAACCAATGACGCCAGAAAGAAATATATTCTTAGTAAAATAAAATAAAATAAAAAAGAAGAAATCTTTCTGGGGCAGTACCAAATTAGGAATTAGGGTTTCTCATCTTCATTCTTCATTGTATCTAAATAATGGAAAAAAATACATTTTTTCAGTAAAGAATGTTCATGTTTATGGTTAGATTGAAATGCTTTTAGGTGGCTTTAATTTCCCTTTTCTTTTTTATTATAGAAACATTAAAGGGAACTTTTTTTTAAATGAATATGCTTTTTTTATATAGCACTTTTTTGAAGTGTTTATTCCTAGTGGATTTTCTATCAGAGGAAGACCAGGCATAGGTCCTCACTTACTATTTTATAAAAGGGTTTACTTGGCCTTTTCAGAATAAATTAATACCCAACACCTAGGTATGTTCAATAAAAAAGATTTGTTTTCCCAGAAAAAAATAATATATTAATATTTTAATAACTTATTTAATGAAGTGAGGAAGCAGTTGAGGGATGTGTTACATACTTGGGGGAGAGGTAGCATTTGTGCTTCAACTTTGTCTTTGAGAAACTACAAGACAGTGATTTTTTATAAGGTATCATCACAGTGGATACCTTATGAATGTTCTTATCCGTCTAGAGATGGGAGGACATTCTCAGTGTATGTAGATCTAGAGCAGTACAGCAAATGGAGTGGTGCATATCTGAATTGCCTGTGAAGCTTCTAAAAAATAATACCTGAAAGTTTGTTTTCACTTCTTTGAGAGGTGCCCCAACCATATTCAGTAGGTTCCCATGAGCCCTGCTTTTCTCAAATCTCAGAACAGCATCTAGTGTTTGGGTGATGGGTGCAAAACAGTAATGTGAGTTTCCTTATGACATAGTTGCTTCAATGTTGCCCTTCACATTTTCCACACTACTAAATTTTCAGAAATTTAGATTATAGAAAGTAGGAAAAAGCCAAATGTGTCACTTATTCTAATGAAACCCCTTCCACTCCCCAAGACTTAGGTTGAATTCTAGGATAAATTATTTCTTATTTGGTTTACTTTCTTGTTTTTCAGTCACTGGAGGAGGACCCTTGGCCAAGGCTCAACTCTAAGGACCATATACCTGCCCTTGTTCGTAGTAATGCCTTTTCAGAGAATTACTTAGAAGTCCCAGCTGAGATAGCTCGAGGGAATGTCCAGGCTGCAGTCGTACCCTCAAAAGATCCAGAACCACCTGAAGAAAATTGCACTAAAGCCCTGACTTTAAGGATTCATGATTCTTTGAATAATAGCCTGTCAGTTGGCCTTGTGCCTACCAATTCAACAAACACCATCATGGACCAAAAAAATTTAAAGATGTCAACTCCTGGTCAGATGAAAGCCCAAGAAGTTGAAAGAACCCCTCCAGCAAATTTTAAAAGGACATTAGAAGAATCCAATTCTGGCCCTCTTATGAAGAAGCATAGACGAAATGGTTTAGGTCGAAGTAGTAGTTCTCAGTCTACAAGCCTCCCCTCAACTTCTCAGCGAAAGAACTCTGTTAAACTTACCATGCGACGCAGACTTAGGGGGCAGAAGAAAATTGGAAATCCTTTACTTCATCAGCACAGAAAAGCTGTTTGTGTTTGCTGAACTGTATCTGGAAAATGGTTTCTTTCCAAATTTAGGATATGAAGCTTTTTGAAGTTGGTGCCGAGGTAGGGACAGACAAAAAAAAAGAAAGAAAGAAAAAAGTATGTTGTTTGACTTTTTGGAATTCAACAGTTTAATCCTATGCCTTGTATTTGCTTGTATTATAAATGTGAATTTTGTAGATGTTAGGGTATATGTTGCTGTAAAATGTGTGTAAATTTGTATCCTTCACACAAACTCAGCCTCTTACCCAGATACACAATAAAAATAACAACAGGGCTAAAAGTTTAAAAAAAAAAATCAAAAGATTATTAGATTTTAGAAGTACATTAACTTTTAAAAATGCTTATTAGGTTACTTGTGATGAAAACTATACAACTTTTTAAAATAAATTATTAAGCAAACTGGAAAAGTGATGTATTTTCATAGTGATCTCTGTTTCACTTAATGTTTCTTAGAGACAACTATTGTCTTTTAAAAATTATTTTTAATTTCTAATTTCATAATTTTTCATATAAGCAGAAGTAGCTGGGTATTAGTCTCCTTGTCCTCATTAAATTCCCATGCAGTATCTCTTATTTCAGTAGCATTTTTCTAAAATATTAATAATCAAAATATACTCACTAAATCTTTGGAATAGAAGGAGGTTTCCCTAAAAAGATGCCCTTTTCAGCTATCCCAGACATTCAGTGGCATTATTAGGTCTTAAAGTAGTTACCTTCTTCTAGTGTTTGCATAAAATATGTGAAGTTTTTCTTGCTATTTCAATAACAGATGGTGCTGCTAAATCCCAACATGTTTAAATTATTTTATATATCGTACAGTTTTCATTGATTATATGGATATATGTTTGTTCATCTAATAAATCAGTGAACTGTTTGTGATGTTGCTGGATTTTTATTGTTGATTTTAATGATTATATTAACTTTCTGTTGTGCCATGATTGTGCTTTTAGAATAACTTGAAATACATGTAATGTTCATTTTTGCACTCTTTAATTTAGAATACATCGAAACAGGCTAAATAGCTAACAATAAAAATATGGTTAAGTCATAGATTGTAAGCATTTGATGAAATATATAGCAATTAAAAATTAATAAAACTGCCCTGCTGGTGTGGCTCAGTGGGTTGAGTGCCAGTCTGTGAACCAAAAGGCATTCCCAGTAAGGGCACATGCCTGGGTTGCAGGCCAGGTCCCCAGTTGGGGGTGTGAGAGAGGCATCTGATCAGTGTATCTCTTGCATGTCCATGTTCCTCTCCCTCTCTTCCTCCCTTTCCCTGTCTCTAAAAATAAATAAAATCTTATTTAAAAATGAGTAGAACTTTGTTAATATAAGAAAAAAAACCTAAAAGGGAGCTAATACTAAAACACTAAGAGTATGTCATTGTGGTGTGGTTAATTGTTATGCAATGAAAATATTTAAATTTGTTAACTTAGAACAAGACCTCTCACTGAAAGGATGAAGAGTTGATTATGTACCTATAGTATGTTAGGTACTGCACAGTTAGAAGCATACCAGTTTCCATAAGAATCAATTGAGAACCAGTGGTCTGGGTAAAACATTACTTGTAGCTAGTTTTTAAAAAGGGTTTTTGGATAATAGTTTGTTTTTCAGATCTATCCAAGATAGAGACATAGCAGCTAGAAGGCACTTTGGGAGTCAATTTATTGTCAAGGGTTTTTTCATCTTTTAGACTTGTGATACCATGTCAGCGGCGCCAAGTAGAAATTCAACAAATCTGAAGGTATATTAAAGAAAGGAAAATCCATTTAGCTACTTCTCACTTTTTTTGCCAGCGTTTGTTGTTTGTTTGTTTGTTTGTTTGTTTTTTTGAAGATTTTATTTATTCAGCATGCCTGGGTTGCTGGCCAGGTCACCAGGTGGGGGCAAGCAAGAGGCAACCGGTTGATGTTTCTCTTACACATTGATGTCTCTCTCCCTCCTTATCTCCCTTCCTTCCCCTCTTTCTGAAAAAGATTTTATTTATTTAGTTTTAGAAAGGGGAAGGGAGGGACAAAGAGGGAAGCATCTATGTGAGAGAAACATATCAGTTGCCTCTTGCATTCTCCCAACTGGGGATCTGGCCAGCATGTGCCCTGACTGGGAATCAACTTTACAGTTTGCCATAGGACGCCCATCCCACTGAGCTACACCAGTCAGGGCTCTACCAGTGGTTTTAAACTAATGTAATGTTATATCTATATGAAATTAAAATTTCCATTTGACTAGAGTAATGGGTTAAGTAATCTTTGAGGCAAAAAATGCCACAGCATTAATTCATATATCTCATCTTTAGTGCAATAGAGTCCAATTACATGCCATACTAGTAGCTATCTATTACTGGAAACATTGGTGTGTGTGTTCCTAGGGTTATTTCAGACCTGTTCTTTAAGGAGTTGAAGATGTTATGTAATCACAAATGTTTTAATGTTTCTATTTTTATTAAATTTTATTTGCCTGTGTAACATCTGCATGATGGAAAATTTATGATGTATAAAATGGTATGAAATGAAAAAATCCCAGCTCAGTCCCCAAGACAGCCAACATTTTCCCCTTGTGTTCTTTGAGTGATCTATGTACAGACATGCAACTAACATGTTTTTATCTTCTAATTTTTTAAGGTTATTTCCATATTAATACATCACAGAGCCTCCTCATTCTTTAGTATCCTGTGTAGTCTGTGGACATACAATTTTGCCATTACTTAACTTACGTCCACTAAAAGGAAAACACTTTTTTAATCATTTTTTTATTGTTATTCTATTACAGTTGTCCCAATTTTCCCCCCTTTGCCCTCTTCTGCCCACCCCACCCAGGAAAAGCTATATTTTTTCCTTTGTACAATACTTATGACACGAGATGTGTGGGATTTTCCTACAGCAGACTGTTAATTTCTGCAGACGCCAACTGGATGCCCTACAGTTCAGTTCTGATACTATATCTACTTGAAGTTAACAGATCTCACAAGACTGCCCTCACTTCACATACCAGTTACAGTCACTTACACGTTTGATCAACTGGCTATAACCCAGGGTTTCCACAATCCCCTTCACAGATTTGATAATTTGCTAGAAGTCTCACAGAACTTGGAAACATGTTTACTGGTTTATTATATAATAAAGAATACAGATGAAGTGATATATGAGGCAAGGTTCAGAAGAGTCCCAAGTGCAGGAGCTTCTGGTCCCATGGGTTTGGGTTTGAGGTGTACCACCCACCTGGCATGTTAGTGTTCACCAGTCTGAAAGCCCTGTGAACTCCACAGTTCAGGGACTTTTCTGGAAGCTTCATCATATAACCAATTCAGTTAGTTCAGTTTCCAACCTCTTCCCCTCCCAGGAGGAAGTGGTCTGGTGAGGCTGAAAATTCACCTTCTAATCATGGCTTGTTCTTTCTGTTGACCAACCCCCATCCTGAAGCTATCCTGGAGCCCACTGACAGTCTCGCCTCTTAAGGACAAAAGATGCTCCTATCAGTAAATTCCAAGGCATTTAGAATCTCTGTCAGAAAGGGGTCACTGACAGGCTGGTGCATATCTCTCTAACCCAGCACTTTCCCTCTCGGGAAAGTGAAATAAAAGCTGCTTTCTGGGGGAAAAAAAGAAAAGAAAGAGGTCAATGACCAAAGGCAAAAGATGCTCCTAACACCTTTAGTTGCTTAGGAAATGACAAAGGTTAGGAGCTCTAACCAGGAGCCTGGAAGAAAAAACAAAATGTGTATTTTATATCAAAATATCACATTTGCACACTGGCTCTTTTCAATATATATGTTTTTAAAATTTTAGAAACATGGATTTGTTTTTCTACTTAACTGATGCATTCACTGGTTGCTGCTTAGATGTATGCAGAGAAATCAAACCCACAGTTTTGGCCTATCAGGCCAACGCTCTGAGCTACCTGGCCAGGGTGCTTTCCAATGTTTTGTAGAACAGGGAAATCTTGACCTATTTATTTTATGCCTCAAAGATTAAAGTATGTATTAGTTACATATTGCTGCATAAAAATACTTCAAAATTTAGCAGCTAAAACAATAAACATCTCCATAGTTTCTGAGGGTTAGGAATCTGAGAATGATTTTGCTAGGTTACTGTCTCATGTGGTTGCAGTCACCCGAAGACTTCACTAGGGCTGGAGGATCTGCTTCCCACAACACTTATCTGTTGGTAGGAGGCCTGATTTCCTAGCCATATGCGCCCTTCCACAGGGCTTCTCACAGTATGTCCATTAACTTACCCCCAGGGCAAATGATACCAGAAAAAGCAAGGGAGACACCACAGTCTTTTGTAACCTAACCTAAAATACCATATGAATTAGGCTGTATTTTTAGATGCAGACTAAATCAGATTAACGTAGGAGGGAACCACACTCCATGAGTACCAAAATGTATCATTGTGGGTCACCATGGAGGCAGTCCATCACAATCTAGGAAGAAGAGGTTTTTCAGTATTACTTTCAGAAGGTTTATACTAGGTTTGCTTTGGTAACATTAATAATGTTATTTTTATTATCTTCCAGATATTTGGAAGACTGCTCTAATGGAGTGAGTCATTTTAAATGTATCTTTCCCCTAAATACAGGGGTGGGCAAAGTAGGTTGTTATTCGTATGGAAAATAATACAGTAATTAATAAATAATAACAATAAATTTTGTGTTTTTTGTACTCACAACAACCAAGTCTCCTTCTGTCACCATAAGTTTTTTTTGTTTTGTTTTGTTTTTTAGATTTTAAAGCAATTTTTATCCAGGGTTAAATGGGGAAGGTAAATTATGTCCTGGGTATCATTAAAACAGTTGATGAAATTAATTTTTTGTTTTTTGTGAATAGCTTTACTTTCTGGTATCTTTAATTATAAATACCATCTCCAGATTTCAGGATAAACTTTTGGGGTTCTGAAATGTAATTTTTCCTGTTAGTGAATAGAGCATTATGGAAAATATGAACACTCTCTTATGTTAAAGAGCTTATATTTTAGCTAAACAGACAATAGAATTATACATTAATCAACTAGATAACAGCCACAAAGTACTATTAATGTGTCAGAGATAAAGGGCAACTATACTTGATAGTTTGCCTGGGACAGTGCTACTTGTATCTTTTTAAAATATTTAATTATTTTTTAATAGAGTCCCATTTGAAGAAATCTTTCTTGTAGAATGGCCACTTTTTAAAAACCTCGTTATTTCTCCTTTTCCTTGTCCAAAAGTTAAAATATTAATGTTCACCATGGTTCTATGTGAAATCAGATTATTTCACCACTGCTTAAATCATGTAATTATTTTAAAAATTTTTTAAATTTATTGATTTTAGACAGAAAGGAAGCAAGAGTGAGAAACATGATTTGTTGTCCCATTCATTTATGTGTTCATTGGTTGCTTCTTGTATGTACTCTGACAGGGATCCAACAACCTTGGTGCATCGATCAGGAGAATGCCCTTACCAACTGAACTACCTAGCCAGGACCTAAATCATGTGATTATTATCCAAGTGTTTTGGGTGGCCAGGGTGAGTCATAGTTTGCTTGAGGCTAAAAAAAAGAGGATCCTATCAAAACAAACACACAAAATATAAAGTGACCTTAAAATTTCGTTTGCATATGGGTGGTGCCCTGACAGTTCCCTGGGGACTTTAGGAGAAGCAATTTTAGTCATTAATAATTTAATATGATGGACATGGTAGCAACCGGAAGAACACAGAACTCTGACTTGAGCTCACTCTTCAACACTGAAAATGAGTGTTTCCCAGCTGGGATTGCTCAGTCACAAGAACAGATTGCTGAAAAGTTTCCCCAGGTCCCATTACTTTGAAATGGCTCATGAACTGGTAATATGTACCAAGCATTCACAAGTTACTTCTATTCAAAAAAGATTACCATAAATTTTACTTTGTATTTGAAGGCTCTTGAGAGAATCACAGCATCTCTGTAGAGAAAAATAAATGGGACTTAGAATTAGCTCGTTGGTTAATTAGTTATTTTGGAGAAATTTCTAACTGGTTTTTAGAACTTTAAATTTGTTTACTCCTATAAAAATCCTATGAGGCTCATAATATTCCTTCTACAATTTACAAAGGGTGAAACCAAGACAGAGAAATTCACTCCCATATCAATGGCAACTATTTACTGGTTAAAAATGGGAGGCAATAATACTCATCTGACCAGTTTTCTCTTAAAGCCACTTCCATGATGATGATGAGACTCAATTATATATTTTTTTATTTCAGTCACTCTTGATAAACAACAAAGAAATAAAAAAAATCTGAAATATAAAAAAAAGTGGAACTTTACCAGTGTTCCTCCTATTTCTAAATGTCAGCACTCAGTTGCTCAAGCCTGAAACAAGCATCACCCTTGATTCTTTTTCTTCTATCCCACATCCAAGGCATTACCAAGTTCTGTCAATTCTTAATTCCAAAATATTCTGAAATTGACGACTTTTTACCTCCACTACTTAACTTCTGCGCTCAGTTCTAGACCGATCTTCCACTTTGTCTAACTGAAAAATAGCCTCCCTGCTTGATCCACTGCTTCCATTTTTGTCCCCTCCCTGACAAAAGTTTAATTTCTGTTTAGTAGATACAATGATCTTTTAGAAATGTAAATACACCATCTTGACACTTCCTAGCTTTAAGTCCTCCAATAGATTCTCACCCTAGAATAAAATTGAAACTCATAATTCTATACAAGACCAAAGTCCATCTGGCCACTGCTTACCTCCCCTAACTAGTTTTCCATCACTTTATATACAACTTAGTTCACTTTGGTTAAACCATAGTGTTTTTCCACAAAATTCATTCCCTTCTTAGAGCCTTTATTCAATAAACCGATACATATTATCTTTATTGTATAAAAATGTAACGGACGAAACAGCACCGGTTAGATATTGATCTCTTTCTTACGGCAGGCAGAAGCAGGGAAGGAAGGAGCCAGGCGTGGTCCATAAACCTAGATCAAACTGACAGGATTAATCGCCGAACCTCTCGTTTTACAGCAGCACCTTCTTGGCTCCTTCATTGCTCACCACCCTCAACCAGCTTAGGGCTCCCGGAAGGTAAACACATCTACAAGGGCGGAACAGAAGGCGGGTTCGGAATGGGTAAGTGGTCAGCTAAAAGTGATTGGCAGCTGCCATGTCCACGTGCTTTGAGCTTCGAACCAGCTGTCGCGAGAATTCGATGTAAACAGACCAGTCCCCGGGTTCTTGGATTCTCAGCTTGAGACTGAGGTGAGGTGTACAGGAGTATGTGGCGTGATGTTTTTTGATAAAGCCACGAAGGTACTGTCTGCAATAGAAAATAGGCATGTCCGTAATTCCTCCCCACCTGCCGGCAATCACAACCGAACCTGACACCTCGGTTTTGTCCGAATTTACATACTGTTTTGTTTTTCCTGGAGCCCCAGCGGATTGGACAATTTCAGGAGGCGGGTCCGCCTCTTTTCTACTTGCTGGTTGGCGGAGCTGACCTCTAAGGGCGGTGCTCAGGCCTAGCCAGCTTGCTTCTCGGATTGGCTAAAAAGGTAGTTCCGCTGAGGCGTGGTAGGAAGTGGTAGCTGTCAATCAAGAGGGGACTCCAAACAGTGAGCCTAGAGCTGGAGAACAGCGTTTACCGGCGGGGCGGCCGGTGAGAAGGCTGGAGGGGCTGTGGCTTTGGGAAGCCTTGGAGAGGACGGGGGCCAAGCAGCGTGAGGGGAGAGGGCTTGACTAACAGGAATTCGGCGAGGGAGAGCTGTCGAAATTGGAGGGGGAGGGGAGGAAGGAAGGGCAAGGGGCCAGAGGGCGGCCGGGGGCAGCGGTAGCTACGTGTTGGAGGTTAAGGGGTTAGCACTGTGCTAGTGTCTTTCAGAAGAGTGGGGCCTGAGGGACTGGCCAGGGTCGTCCTCAGGACAGGGCCCTTTTAGGACAGTTTTTGGGAGGCTGTGTTTCGGAAATAAAGGGTGGTATAGAAATGAGAGGGCTGTGGGGCTGGAGGTGAAGATACCCATAGAGGAAGGGGTTCCTGGGCTACTTGGGGCAGAAGGTGTTTTGGTTGTAGCAGATGGGACTTAACAGTTTGAAAGTTGTCAAATAAGGCGACGGAATGCTCCCTACTTAGAAGCGAGGGTTTTAAGGGCTCTCAAGATTAATTCCAGGCTGTGGGCTCTTCTGAGCCCTGTAAGGGATATTTAATACTCCTGTCAATGCTCCTTTAAACCTTAACCAAATACACTGCATGCTCTTAAAACCTCCCCAATGGATCAGGTGCTTACTAGACATTCAAGGGTCAGGATTCAGTGATATGACAGGAAAGGATAAGGGGCTTCTAATGTCATGAGTTTATTACTTAGACTCTGGTGATTAGGTTTCAGTAGCAGGGGGTTAACAAAATTGACTTTTAAAATCTTGCTAAATTATGACCATGCAGTCTTTTAAAAAAAATATGGCATGTAACATTGTATTAGTTTCAGGTGTACAACATAATGATTTGATACTTGTATATTTTGTGAAACGATTGCCACATTGTCTAGTTAGCATCCATTGCCACGCATAGTTACAATATGCTTTCTTACAGCCCACCAACAGTCTTAGTTGGGTGGTATTACCCTTCTGTTCCATTTGGTCTTGAAATATTGTTTCATGTGTATTTTCACTGTCTCAACATAAGATTTCAGTACATTTTAAAATTTTGGCTTACAAAGGTAGCACATTTGCTTTTATGAAGTGATCCTGTGCTAGACTTGCCATCCATGATCTGGTTCTCTTCCCTTTCTAATTTATGTTAACAGTAGATCAAAGGGTCCAGCAAGAGTCTTAACTAGTTTTGTGGTTCTGAGGTTTGGTTTAAATGAAAAAAAACTTGGTAATTAAAAATTTTTCTTATCACCTGCCTTTCACCTCTTCTTGTGTAACAGGAATTGCTGGGAAATTTTTGTACATTTTAGGCACTTTTGATAAGGGATTGCTAGTGAGCAACCACAAACTTTTCTCCCTACTTCCAGCAATACTGATCCATTTTTCCTAATTTTTGTTCTGGAAACAGGTTTTGTGAATGAAGCTATGGCTACAGATTCTCCCAGAAGACCCAGTCGCTGTACTGGTGGAGTTGTGGTTCGCCCCCAGGCTGTCACGTGAGCAAATTTCAGATAATCCTAATACAATAGCTGAAGGAAAGATTACTCAGAATAGTAATTAATTTTCAGGTTTCCTTTCTGAACAGTGATTATTTCTGTAGAGTCTATTTAATATTGGCTATACAGGATGATAAATATCATTGCCAAGGGCAAATAAAAGCGATAATTGGAGGGTCAAGTTGATATATTCAGCAGATTTACAGAGTACCTTGAAAAGCACTATGCTAAACCCTCAAGAGTAATGTTTTCTTGTACTTTTGATTTAACAATTTGGTGGGTTATTAAATCAATTTATTGGATTAGGACCATTATTTTTAAAAAGGAAGTAGAATGTAGTAGAAAATATAGTTGAGAGTATTGTTTTGTGTAACGCACACAGATATATTCATATGTATGTATATGTTTACTAGCATGTGATATAAAATGTATCTCATTCTAATGTCTCAGTCAGAAAGTTTCAAAGTCAATATCATAAAGAGTACATTTCTGTATTTTAAGCCTTTTTGATAAAGCATATGTATATTTTCTAGGAGCATATCATCTAATGTGGTTTTAAGATATATATGCTTGAAATCATTATAAGCAATAAAAAAGATACTAGCAAAACAGCATGTGAATTTAGAGGGAGTGTTTTTGTGGGTTTTTTATTGTGAGTATTTTAGTATTTTAAATCCAAAAAGGTTTTGTTGAGAAGCTAACATTTATAGTATACTTCAAAGGCTGAATACTGTTTGGGCAGTTAGAATCAAGGGTAATTTTAGGCAGAGGGAATAGAGTGAGCAGATGTGGGCAAGGCAAGCTATTTTCATAAATGATATACAGAAAAGTTAGCCTATTTGAAGTAGGTTTAAGTGGACAGTTACAACCGTACAATACCTACTATAGAGGTAAGATTTGTGTTTTGCTTTTAAAATACTCAAAAGGGAATTGCAGCATTTTTTATTATTTCCCTTGGGAAGTTCAGCGTGTTACATAAAGATTGCCTCCTCAGACTAGCAAAAGTTTATGTGTAATATAATATTTTACTACAATACTTTCTTTTTTTCTTCCTGCATTTTCCAAGGCTATATGTCTTTGTTAACTATGGACCATGGCAATAAGTTAATAAGCATGTTTTAAACTATGAGTTAGTTACTATTTCATTGTTCGTTTTAGAGGTGAGGAGACCAAAGTAGAGAGAAATTAAGTAAATTGTTCTCAGTAAAGGCCAAGAAGGAGAACTTGGAGCAAACCCAGGCAATTTAAAAAAATCTTCATTAAGTATATTTTTTAACGGTGCTTGAGCATCTACTCTATGCTAAAGTAGTGGCTTATAGATTCTGGAGATAGAAGATAAATATAAGAGATTGATTTCTTTCTGTAATAGAGTTCATTTACATTCTAGTGGGGGAAACAGCAAATAAGTAAAGTAATTATAAGCTCTGATCAGTGTAGTGTGCTGTGATAGAGAAGGACAGTGGGGAGTACTACTTAAGGCTATCAGGGAAGGCTTCTCGGAGGAAGTAACACTTTAGTTGGAGGTCTGAAAGGGAAGGCAGTGTGGAAAGGAGTTGAGGCAGAAGGCTGGCATAAAGGTCTTGATCAAAAGAAAAGCTTGATATAATCAAGGAATTGAAGTTGCATATAACCGAGGCAGAGTAAATTAAGAAAAATGAGTTTGGAGAGGTAGACCTAATCAAAATGTATTTTTCTTTTTTCAGGTCTAGTTAGTTTTGTAGGTATTTAAGGTATATAGGATTTAGGATAACTCTGATTATTTTCTTAAATGTAATTTTTCACATCTCTTTGGATTGAATTTGTTTTGGTATTTTGAAGGCTTTTTTTCTCCATTTGCTGATATCCATATACTTCCCATTTAAAATATCTTAATATCCTTTTGCATTTTAATACTTTCCCATGTTGAGAGGGAAGGAGGGAGGGGGGTAATAGGGAAAAAAAGAGAAAGGGTCAAATCAAGGGACATATATGAAGGACCCATGGACAAAGCCAAAGTGGGGAAGGATTGAGGGTGGGAGGTGGGGATGGGTGGCGCAGGGGAAAATGGTGGTGGGAAAATGGAGACAAATGTATTTGAATAACAAAAAGAAAAAAGAAAAAGAAAGGAATTCAGAAAAAAAAATACTTTGCCATGTCTTGTCTATGGCAGAAGTTCCCTGTAGAAAAATATAGATCCATTTTTTTACATATGGATAAGGGACTAAGTTCATAACCAATCTAGAGGAGAAGGTCACTAAAGGCCAAGTCATCAGCAACAGTTTTTCTTGCTCTACTAGGGCATTCTGCTCTGACTCAAGAGGAAGGTTGTGCCTTAACCAAGTCTCCTGTCATCTCTGCTGCAAGTATGAGTTAGAAGTTATCTATATCAAATGAAGAGAGCGTGACTTTTCAGAAGAGACAATATTTAAACATGTTAACATCTCATTTGCATTTAATAACATACCATGAAACTTTATCGGGTTATGAGAGTTGGTCTTCTTTTCCCCTTTTAAAAAATTATTATGAGGGACTTTCTTAGGGCTTCTTAGAAAGAGCTTTTCCATGTTTGCTTTAATCTGTCATAAATTTTTTCCAATTCACCCCTTTTCAGGGAGCAGTCCTACATGGAAAGTGTTGTGACTTTTCTACAGGATGTTGTGCCACAGGTAAGTGTCTATGTTTTAAGAAACAGTAGATTTTACCATTGGCCAGGGAGCCTCTGAAGTGTTCTGTTTCCCAAACTTGATACTGGTATCATCAACTTAAAAATGACTTGATGTTTTAGCATCCTGGACATTGGTGTGGTGGAACTATACTTGTTATTAGATGTGCCTTAGTTTTGTGCTGACAGTGGCACAGTTATTATTCCTCAGGACTTGCTCTCCTAAGAGGAGTCAGGTGAAAGATGGGACTTAGAACTGTCTAGTTGGGTTCTGTTTCCAAAATC